GGCGATAATGGGAAACTAGTGTACCTTCTTCATAAACAACTATAACTAGGAGAACGATCAGTGAAATGGTAAGGGATTGCAATTGTGTATCTACTAAGAGCAAAAACGATCGCCTCATAAAATGGAAAAAATTCTTTGAGGCCAGACTTAACCACGCCATCTGTTAACCTAGACATAACTGATAGGTTCGTCAAACCATACGTTTGCAATTGCGAACCGCCAACAATAGAAGAAATAATCTCCGTTATCCACAAGCTTAGGACCAACAAGACTTCGGAAGAAGGTCTCTAAACTGAACTCTTCAAATGTTTTCCATCGTCCCATCATACCTTCAACAAATGTCTGGCATGAGAAAACGAAATATTACCAGATGACTGCAGCAAAACAGTTCTGCTCCCAATTCTCAAGAAAGATGATAAGACATACTACGACAATTATCGAGGAATCAGCCTACTAGACGTCTCAACGAAAATTTTTGCTTCCCTGTTACTTAGCAGACTTATGGAAGTACGGAACAGCAGGATGCGCCCTAATCAAGCTTGTTTCAGATCAGGAAGCGATTTTACTGATTAGATATTTACGTTAAGAATGGTATTGGAACAGCGCTTCAAATATTTGCAACCCATCGTCATATGTTTCATCAACTTTGTGGTTGCCTTTGATTCAATTGATAGAGCGGCGCTTTGGAGAATGATGGAACGCGACGGTGTTTCAGAGAAGATCATTCGGCTCATAAGGACATTTTATCAGCATATCCTGGCGCAGATCTATGTATATCTGTGTATATGAGGAACTGGCAGAATCCATCGAAATAAGAACTTGTGTCCGGCAAAGTTTTCTCTACAGTATTCAACTATGCGATAGACTGGATAATGGACACCGCTTGTCGGCACTCAAGATGTGCACAAATTAGTCAGAACATCGCATCACAGACCTTGAACAGACACTGATGTAGTCCTTTCTGCTGATTATGACGAAATGCAAATAATACTAAAAAATGTTTCAACAACTGCAGGGAGCACTGGACTCAGAATCCATGTAAATAAAACGAAAGTGTTTGCGTCTTATATACAAGAAGCTAATAAAATAACTATTTCTAACAATTCATTGGCGGTTGAGGAAATGCCCGACTTCAAATGTTGGATCCGTTCTGGTCCTAAATGGCCGGGTAAAGGAAATTGCAATCCGTGTAACGACAGAAAGAAATGGATTTTTTCGAAACCTTCATGAATCCGTCGCGAAATTGCCGTAAAGATGAAAATTAAAAAGCGTCCACATAGCGCTCGACCTTGCTACATAGCTGTGAAACATGGCCAATGAGAGTAGAAAATATTAAGAAGCTATCAGCCATTGACCACTTATGCCTAAGATATATTTTACGGGTCCGTTGAGTTGATAAAATTGCACATAATTGTATATCCATCTTCAAAGTCAGCTCACTGCTGCAATGTTCCTTAATTTTTTTTGATGTTACTACTTACCTCTTTAAACAATACATTTTATTATTTGTGGTACCTACCGAAGAGATATTTGGTTTGAGTTTTGATGGGAGTAAATTATAAAACCTATGTTTATGGAAGAAGGCGGAACAATCTTTTGAACTGCTTATATCTCTGTAATCATCGCTTTATTGTTTCGTTTTTTCTGCATATTTTAAACAAATCTCCCATGAATTCGATGAATGATTTGATCCTGTAATGTGTGTCCACATCTATCACTACAGTTTACCAAATTCTTTCGAACAATTCACCAATATATGTATTTATTATGAAAAGGAATCAAAACTCAACTAACTCAATGCAGAGAAATTATAAAAAATTATCGAATTTTCTTCATTAGCAATGCTTTTAAATTATGGAAAACACTGCAAACTTGAGCTCTTGTGTTCAGGCAGAAATACCCGTATAATTTTTCTAAACAACCGCTTTATATTGAGCGATAAAAAAATTATTTCTGCAATATTAGGCGTAAACTTATCCCCTCTTCCATTCCATCTGATTTCTCCACCGTTTGTTTTCGTCAGTTATCTCTAACCTTTATATCACTGTGATTTACTAACCCAATTCCCAAGGAATCACGTTAAAATAAATGCAAATGCTTTCAAATACGTTGCCATTGATGCACCAATCACGAATTATTGCGAAGAATTTGCCTGTATAACATTTTTTTCATAATAGAATATGGGTGATAGGTAAAATACTCAGCTGTTGCTAGCGACTCACTTATATACTTCTATCGCCAAGGGACTCCCTGAAATATTTGACCAGTGCGACAAGCCAGCCGAGCGACTTTAACCAGTAATAGTGAGGGCCCTTCAAAAAAAATGAGTGAACACAACAAAATTTTCATAAATTAATGTCTGCAGTTTACATTGATTAATCTAATGAAAACTTTCTCAGTTTGGAGAGAACTTTGATGAAAAAACATCTACAATCGCAACTGCAGGATTCGACTCATGGATACTATTGTATTTTCCGAAGAAATATTGAGTTAACTAGTTAAATATTGAGTTGAATTAGTAAAACACCTGTGCTTAGAAAAAAAATTAAACGGAAATTAAGGCACCCTTAAAATTTAATAATTCATCTTATTTATTTATTGAAAAACCAGCTAAGCAGGGCGACAACGCCATGTGCTTATATTTAAAAACAACAGGTAAAATAACAAATTATAATTATTAATGGAAAACAAAAAATAAAAACAATCTTATTTAATAGAAGCATTATCAGAATAACTGAAATCTAAAATTCAAAAAAATTCTGGTATACGACGCAGTAAATTCACTCAAATTACAGCCTCGATAACAAAGCGTCGTAACGTAACATTTCTGTTTACACGATTCTTTTCATGAGCTAATGGTAATGTCTCAGATAAACCGAAAAGAAAAGGGATCCTTCAAGCAGTTTTTCGATCAACAAATCATCGAGCCATTGAGCCGTTTTGATTTCTTCAAACTCGTTTTGGGGTGGATTTGGCTCCTTATTCTGGTAATTTTAATTCCATTCAAACAAAACCACAGAAGCCCTTAGTTTTATTATCTAACGACGCCCTTTGTTGTTCTTTATCGATTTGGCCCGTTAATATTGTTTCTAATTGTTTTGTGGGGATCACTTCGCTTTGAACATAAAACATTTGCTGCAGCATTCAACATTTCCGATTTCGTGGTTTCACTGACTATTTTGCTTCGCCAACATAATCAGACATAATTTGAAAAAAAATTATTGGAAACCATTTTTACTATGAAAATCGTGACTATGAAAATCGAAACTTTTTCCATTTATTAATACAAATGTACATATGTACTGAATAAATACAAATATGTTGGTCGAGACGATTAAAATTTAGCTGCTGAAGCAGTTTTGATCTCCCACCAAATTTGTGAACAAAACTCTTCTGACCAAAATACCAGGGTCGAATTTTTGCCATTATTCTTTCCTCAAAAGTTGGTTTTTTTTCCTAAGCATATCAGTAAAAAACATGCAACCTACTCGCTATTACTTCCTAATCAAACAATTAAACGCAATGGCCTTAATTACCATGGACCTTTGCAACCAGTCTTCATTTAACAAATGGATATCACAATGTGTCACAAAGAAGGAAACTCGTAGTTGTAATAATCTGAAATTATTTTACAAATTTCCTTGACAAATGAAAAGTCAACAAATATCAACAAATATTCCAGTAACTTTCAATAAATTCACGATCACTCGGCATTAAATATGGTATTTAAAATTCACAGCCATATACACGCCCGATTTTCCACTCACCTTCGAGCTAAAAACGAAAATAGTATTGAACATTTCCATCGAAACAATAAATTTTACAGATTTGACTAAAATGACCAAGAAAATCCGTTTCTTCAATAATGTATAAAGAAAAAGAGAAAGAAGATTCCTACCGATGAAAACCAATTTAAAAAATCGCATATGCCAATATTAAGCTTTTGATCTCATTTAAACTGTTTAAACTGTTCTGAATTTAATTCAGATTATTAGATCTTACGGTCAATCACGCATCCTAATATAGTATCACCTAAAAAGAACTATCTCAAGGAAATATTCACTAAAACCAATGAAAAGAAATGACCATATTAATGAAATTCAACATATACAATTCGCAGCAATACGACATATTGCGCATAAAACCACAAAAAGCAGCTTCCCCAAAGTAAATGATTTCATTTAAACATGCCATTTTCAATAACTTCGATTAGGCCAAGAAGTAATTGAAGCAATTTTAAAATTGAAGACTACCAAAACATGTTTCTTCACACTGATACAAAATACAAGCAACCACGTTAACATCGTCTTATCTTTGTGTTTTTGCTTCAAAATTCAAAATCTTCCCAATGTATATCCTAATCCGGATTAATGTAAAAGCTTCCTTAAAGTTCCATTAAATTCAAATTCGAAGAGCCTTTATATACGCATTTGCATTTATCTTAATCGTTCATTCCATACACTCTACCTTCACTCTACGTTTCCCCGATTATTTCCTTTTCCTTAAAAAAAATTTCCCAGAAAAACCCCCAAACTACAGGCACATCAAGTAGAATTGACTAAAAGAACGCAGAAAAACTATATTCACGTTGGTACTTCGGTAAATTTCCTTAAATATGATCCTAGAACAAATACATGAAATTTGAGGAGAAAAGATGTTTTTATAGAATGCGAATATATCAACCAACAGTGGAAATATTCTTAAACAATAGTTAGTATTCCCAAAATCAAGCAGAGTATAACAGTATAACAAAAACGGATTTTTTTAAAAATCTCTACAGCCGTAAACAAACTGGACAGATATTATGAATAAGAAGAAACGATTGTTGGAAGCAGAAAATTTTTGATTTTCATTTAATAAAAATTATACCAACTTGAAAAACTACCAAAGAAAGTCCAACCAAAAAAGTGCCAGAATTTTGCTTAATCTGAGCAGGAAATGACCAAGAAATCGATCGTTCCTTAGGAGATAGTATGCACGAAACAATATAAAAAAACAGTTCACTTAAATATTTTGCCCTGGTTAAACTTTCTGCCACCGAATTCTCCCTCCCACAGCAAATACTCGTTTACTAACTTCTTCGTTTTTTCATCCGCTGGATCCAACTTTTTCCAATCGTAACTCTCATAATCAACCTAAAAAATGATTGAAAGACGATTTAAAAAGAGCATTCATAAAATTCAAACAACTATATTTAAAAAAATTGTATAAGATAAACAGCCAGAAAATGAAAAAGTGAAGAAAAAATAGGAGGGAAATAAAATTATATAAACTTATAGAAAGGAAGCGCTAACCTGCCAATCAGGGCTTAATGTAAAAGCTAATTCATGGCCACGCCAAACCCATACGCCAGAAATTGTTGAATTATTGTCGGACCCAAAAAGGCACATGGATGCGAAAGCATTCTTCTTCAGTTTTTCCAATCTTTGAAACATACCTGAAAACAAGAGATTAATCACAATTTTAAACCATCTGGAATTGATGAAAAAATGAGGTATGTCGTACCACTAATGAGATTGCAACTCATGAATGTTAAAGTTAATTCTTCTGGATATTTATATTCGCAAAACCAAATTGAATAATTCTCTGCATCAAAGTTCTCCCAGAAATATGGAATTGCCTTGGTGGCTGTATCTTCATTCGAGTACACTCGTTTGAAAGCATCCATTACAAAGGTACTAAAAAAAGTAAAAATGAAGTTTAAAAGGTGAAAAAAAGACAACAAGACAAAACGATATCTTTTCCACTTATCTCATGGAAAAAATTTCAAAAATTTTTAATAGATTTATTATGCGGAAATTCAGAGAACACCAATTTTTTAATTACATTACAAGAAGTAAGAAATTTTAGATAAGTTTTTCTAAGCATTTACCCTTTTGGCATCGTAGCAAAAACATCGGCTGCTTTTGGTTCGCTACTCATCACTTCTTCTGTTGGATCCATCTCCTCCTCTCCGGCACTCTCATTCGCTTTACCTTTCTTTCCTAAAAACAAAGGAAATGCTCCTTAAGATAGAAAAATTAAAAATTGACTCGAATTTTGAAAACATATGCCAGGAAGTCCCCAATTAATTAAAAGCTTACCTTCTTTATATTCTTTTTGTGGCTTAACATTTTCTTTATGCTTTCCTGAAAGAATAAAATAAAAAACCATCATCAAAAATAAAAATAAAAGCCTCATAATTATATGATAGGAAAGTGATACCTCCTCCATGGTGATGTTCTTCCTGTTTCGGAAGCTTAGCTGACAGCTCTTTAAATTTCGCCACTAAAATTTAAATGAGTTGAAGATAGCATATAAACACCCATAAATCAGCATTAACCAAAATTTATTCGAAAAAGATTATATGAAAATATAAATGGAAAGGTGTTGAAAGTATAGAAGAGATGAGTAAATTCAATTTCAGAAATGAAAATCAGATTTAATTTCGCGATTAGTAGTTAATCTCAATCAAGAAAATATCATTTAATCAATAAAAATGATGTGGTGTTAAAAAATAATCTACTGTTGAACTTCTCAACATGTTCTGCGAAATGCACTTGTCCTACAACGTCTCTTATTTTCGGCTGATTGACGATAGTATTAAACCAGCGAGTAACATTTTTGAGATTTGCTCGACTCTCCCCATCCAAGACATGCTAAAAGATTAGTCTATGCATTAAAATTACAAAATACCGTTTGCTTAACCGATTTTTCCATCATATCCTTATTTTATGCAAAAATAAAAATCATCAATTTTAAACAGCTGAGAAATAAATTGAAAGTTTTTAAAAAAAATAAAATCCATACTTCGAATGCACACAAAAGATCAAGAGCAACTGTGATATCAGCTAAAGATAGGCGCTCACCACTTAAAAAGGTTCTTGTAAGCAAGAATTCGTCGAGACATTTTAGCTGAGCAAAAAGTTCGTTCCTTGTCGCTTCAACTACCTATTAATCTAGCTAATAATGAAAAAGACATTACGACATCTTAATTTTACTAATAAATAATAAATATTATGAATTACTTCATGAATCTATAAACAAATTATTTATTAACATTCTATGTAAATTAGATTATGATGATGAATAATGAAATTAGTAAAACTGAAACAAAAAAAAAGGTATAAAAACATGAAATATAACCTTTGGAGCTATCTGCACCACTGAAATGCTAGGTAACACGTAGCCCAAAACATTCGGAAGCAATGAACCTTCTGCCCACTGTAACCACTGAACGATTTCCGTACACTAAAATCATATATTAAATGATTAAAAAATTGCAAAGTCAATCGTAAAAAAATTACGTCCACTTTAGCTAACATGGTAAAAAATAAGAAAAAAACCTTTGCTTGCCCTAGCTTGTTCCCTAATAAATGAAGCGCAATCGATTCCGCGCCGAACAGAAGTACATCTCCATCTTCATATGCCGGTGTCTATAAATTCCAGCCATATAATTTTGTATATTATATAAATATTAAAAAATCTGATTCATCAATAAACTTAGGAACAAAAAAACAAAAAAATTTTACCGTGCCAATCGGGAATTTATTGTGTGGCGGCTTTTCTTCTGTTAATGTCAAATCGATATTTGCAATTTTTGCAGCGATGAGTACCTTTTTAACTCGAAAACTATCTTTCGACCCATATAACTTCTAAAAAAAAACCCATTTTGATAAACAGTCAATAGAACAAAAAATAAAAAAAATAGTAAAAAATAATGAAAATAATGTCCCAATAAAAATTGATAAAACTGAACAGTAATATTAATAACAAGTAATTTATATATATATAATTTTAAGCACATTTTTCCTTTAATTTAATTTTTTTATCTTTTCTTTCTCAAAACTTCGTTTTCAGATGATAAGGGTAAATTCTGCGAAACTTCAAATGCTAAAACATTTCTACAGAAGCATGTCATGGTCATAATGGGAAACCGGAATGTGCACATATATTCACAATGCTGCCACGATGAACACAATATGTGGCAAATATGGCAGGGGGCCCGATGCGCCAATGGGGAACGCCTTCTTTGCATTGAGAATTAAGACGCCATTAGGTGATAACAGAAAATTTTTGCCTTCATAAAATATCTAATACTTGAGGAACGGTTAATAAAACGATACGGAATAGCAAGTGTTCCTAAACTGATGAGGATCGCTTCGTAAGACAGGCCGAACTTAACCACGATGTTGCCCTGAATATAGCTAATTCGCTCGTCCAACCCTACGTATGTAATTGGGAACTGTAAACAGAAGAGAAGCCAACAAAACTTTCAAAGAAGTCGATCTCTTAGCTGAACTTTTCAAACTTTTATCATAAAACACAACATTTTCTGTGTGAGAAAGAAATAATAACATATGAGAACCGAAGCAATTCTGCTCCCAATTCCCAAGAAAAGTGACAGGATTTACTGTGATAAACACTGAGGAATCAGCCTATCAGGCATCTCTGAGAAAATTTTTTCTTCCCTTCTAATGAATGAAATAGTATGAGACAGCAGGATAACCAAGTTGGATTCAGACCAGGACGCGGCTCTGCTGACCAGATATTCATGTTAAAAAGGTTTTTGGAACATCGCTTCAAATATATTACACCAGCATCATTTGTTTCATCGATTGTGCAACTGCCTTCAATTCAATTAGCTACGCTTTGGAGGGTAATGGAACATGACGGTGTTCCAAAGAGAGAATAGAAATAGGAGATGGTATCAATCAAGGTTGACCCTTTCCTATGCGAGAGACTGGATAATGAACATCGCTTGCCGGCACTTAAGAGCATAGCATCACAAAATTCGAATGCGCTGATGATGTAGTCCATTTGTCGACAAATGCAGCGAGAATTAGATTCAGTGCCAATACAAAAATAAAGCGAAAGTTCTTTCGTCTTACAATAGAAGCTGATAAAATACCTATTTTCATCAATTCATCTAATTTTAAATGTCCTGGATCCATTTTAACCCCAAACGACCAGGCGAAATATGAAATTACGACCCGGATAACGGTAGCTAAAAATCCACCTTTCTGTTTGACGAAATCTTTATGGAGCCGTTGCAAAGTCATCATAAAGCAAAATCCGCGTCCATACTCCTATTCATTTTATTTTCTTATATGGCTGCCAACGAAAGTGAAGGATATTAACCTATCTGCCTCTAACCACTCATGTCTACAATACATGCAAATATCGCCCACATTAATACTACCATCACGGAGCGTCACTTTCGCTGGATGGGCCACGTTATTCATCGCCCATCACGGGAGTTAACATATGTTTCCTTATTTCCTTATTTGCTAAACTTTGTGACGTCAAAAGCGAAGTGGACCAATCAAGCCCCGGACTAATAGAGATTAATAGAGGAAAGATTCTGAACGTATAGGAAGACCAGCGATGTATGGACTTAAAAGGTGGAAAAAGAAATGGATTTTATTACTATCGGCGAGGCATCAAATCCAACAGCTTGAAAACATGGCCATGTCCTTGTCCTTGTAGCCAGTGCAGCCAGCCTAACCAGTCATGGTGAAAGAAGACAATAAATAATAGTAAAAAATGAGATTAATTAGGATCATAATTCTACTATTTATATAAGACTGATAAATATATCACTATTAATAATAATAATAAATACGATATTTATAAAACGCCAGATAAATCTGCCGAAAAAGGACAAAGGAAAGAAAACTTTTATATCGCTTCACCGCTTCCATGAAAATGTTCTGAAAAGAAAAGAAATGCAACATATTCACATATACTATCTAATGAATTAATCAACTAAAGGTGATAAAAACTTAAGCAAAAGACGCAAACACAAAGATTTATTACCATAATGTGACGCTTGATTGAACGTTGTCCAAATCGATCAAACTAAAAATTTTCGAATATAACGAGAAGTCGAAGGTTAACGAAGCGACTGTAGGAAAAGTTCCAATCAACTAATGAAAAAAAAATACCAATAATAACAAATGTAAATGTAACTTCGATTACCTCATCAATATTTTACAACACTGCTGGAAGGATTCAAAAGAGAGAACCTACAAGAAACCAATACCTAACCGCATCCTAGACCATCCTCTCTCCATGACCTACAACCCAACCCTGTCACCACCCTACCTTTTATCTCAAATGACCAATTGCTTTCCCTATATCTCTGCTGTGTTGAAACAACTTCCCTTCAAAACCCAAAGTATTTGCAGCTCAATACCATATTCAAAATTCGCTACGTACGACTTTTAATGATATTTTAATATCATCTTCATATCATCTCATCTTATACAAAGTTAGATTATCATAATAAATGATCTTCCTGCAAAACTTTAATTCGCAAGTCAATGAACAAAGAAAGAAAATTTACTTTTTCGAAATAAATAATATGACATAAATAATACATTATGAAGTCGATCGACATTCATGACGAACTCACAACGAACAAGAAAAAGAATGAAAAAAAATTTAAGCAACAGAGCCATAACCATTAATTGCCATTTACTTCACTAAATTAGTGAATAAGCGAATAAATACAACAAATAAACAATCATGGAGGATCGTCTAGAAATCTGAAAAATTATTACTAAACTTTCTAAGTACATAAATCCGAGGAAAAAGCGTAATTTATCATATATCAAGAGGTATTACATTACGAGTGTAGTTTCGAACTGTGATCTTTTACCATCCGATTATACCTTCAGTTAGGTATTGTGTAACTCTTTTTATTTCCTCTCTATATTATGTTAGCTTATGTCTTATTCATTTTTTTCTAGCAACTTTTTTTCACTTGTTTTTCAATTTGTTGTTCTTAATGACCTGCTTGGCTGATTAAAAAAAAATAATGCAACTTTTTGTCATTATTTTTTAAGTAAAATAAGGAGAACAATAAAATCACAGAATTAAAAATCACAGTGCCTAGATTTTCAAAAAATTTCAGAAAAATTATTCTCTGAATTTTTTTCGTTAGATATAATTTAATATAATTTTTTCTTTAAATATTAACAAATTAATTTTCCAATATCTCATTTTGGGTTACTATATATCTCCAATAATTTTTTTCACATTTCAATAACAGAAGAAAATGATAAAAAAGGAACATAAAATTTAAATAAATAAATAAAGTAAAAAAGAACACGACATGGAGAAAAAAAATATTGAAAATGATATAGTTGCAATGAAGGAAGAATCTCTAAATATTACCCAACATAGCTGAATTCCCATCGAATTTCCTTTTCTTTGGTGGTGGAATGTGAGTTACAGATTCGTTATTTCGAAGGATAAATGAACTGGGACCAGCATTAGGCTCGTTGGAGGCAACGATACCTCTGTTAATTTGAACTTCGCGCTTAATTTGAAAAAATTAATTATAAATAAAAATCTCAAATTTCAATTCAATTTATAATGTTAATCATCCATTCTTCATCGGATGTAATTAGCAGAATTAAATAAGCAATTTAAAATGCTTTTAGAAAAGGCAAATACAGACGAGAGTTAAAAAATTAAAAAATACTGAAAAACGATGGACTAATTTCTATAAAAACCCTTTAATTTTACCAGGAAATAATCTGATGAAATGACGACGGCAAAATGAATTAATGGATAACAACAAAAAAGTGTTTACCTTCATCAAAAACTCCAACTGCTCTTTTTCAGTCATAAAATGCCAAAAATGCCGATTTGTTAGAATCGGGTCAAGATCATGCCTTTTTTGTTGTTCAAATATTTCCTTAGTCACACCCATGCTTGAACTCTCTCCCATTTCTTCGTCAGCTTTAACCTCAAATGGGTTTAAATTAGTGCCCACCATTTTTTCGATGACCACCTTAACCAAATCTATGAACGAAAAAATAATTTAATACACAGATTTTAAAAAACCCTATAAGGCACAATACCTAAGCGAAAATATCATTATGATTAAAAATGATTACATCCTAAAGTTAAATAAATTCTTTAATTAAAAATTCTTTTAAATTGGAAATTTTTACATTTATTGTTATAAGTTCCACTCTTAAAAACTTGCCAAAGTTGAATTCTCATTATCGCTTCTTAAAGCCTGCAGTTCTAGTAGTAATCGGGCATTTTCTGCTTCTAACACGTTTGCTTCCCTCCTTGTTTGTTCTATATATTGAGATCTAGCGGTGATTACATCAATTGACTTTTTGAGAATAGCAGCACGCGAGATCTTTAATAAATTATTAACAAATGGATCATTCTAACAAAAAAGATGCATCAAAATAACAATTTTTACTATTTTCATGATAATAAATTCTAAACTTTGTAGCCCTTTAGCAAATGTTAAATTTTTGTACCTGTTTTCGTAAATTTAACTCATCAGTAATTTCTTCTTCTAACAGCTCTCACCATTACTGGTTAGACTGATTCCGCTTGTTGCAAGGGTAAGACGTCTCAAAGCTTGGTCCGACGCCATTGCAAGAATTAATAGAAGCCATTCCTTTTTCCATCGTCTAAGTCCATATATTGGTCTCTTATACGTTCAAAATTTTCCTGACTATATCAGTCCAGGTCTTGACTGGCACCTCGTTTTTGACGCCATTCATCAAAAAGTTTAGCAAATATCGAAATGTGCGTCAATTACTGTAGTGGACGACGGAGAACGTCCTAACCATCGAAGGCGATGCTCCGTGATAACCTTATTAATAAAGATGGTATTTGAGCGAAAGTGGATGTGCAATTTTATGCCTGCTCGATGGACACGTATAATGTATCTTAGATGAGAGATCAAAGACTGATACCTTCTTAATATCTTCCACTCTCATTGGCCCTTGTTTCGCTGCCATATAGCAAGATGCAGCTATATGGATGCGGATTTTCGTTTTTATGGTGATTTCTCGGCAATACCATAAAGGTTTCATCAACCGGAAAAACAGAAAAACATATTTCAAGCTGTCGTTATTCGCATTACAATTTCATTCTTTGCCATTTGGGATTAGAGTGGATCCAAGATATTTAAAGTCGGGCACTTCCTCAACTGGCAATAAATTGACAAAAATAGGTATTTTATCAGCATCTTATATATAAGACGAAAATACTTTCGTTTTCTTTACACTGATTTGATTTTGAGTCCAATTCTCGCTGCAGTTGTCGACATATTGTTTAATATTATTTGCATTTCATTAAAACCGTTAGCAAAAAGGATTACATCATTAGCGAATTAAGGGTACGAGATGCTATGCTCTGGGCTGATTTGCACACCTCTTGAGTACCGACAAGCGATGCCCATTATTCAGTCTGTCGCATACCGTAGAGGAAAGGACACAATCTTGACGAACCCCAGTTCTTATTGCGAAGAAATCAGTCAATTCCCCATATACACAAATATACACAGATCTGCGCCAGGATATGCTGATAAAATGCCTTTATGAGCAGAATGAGACACCGCCACATTCCATCACTTTCCAGAGCGCTGCTCTATCAATCGAATCGAAGGAAGCTGAAGAATCGATAAAGCAAGTGATGATCGGTTGCTGGTATTTGAAGTGATGTTCCAGCACCCTTCTTAGTGTAAATATCTGGTGGGTACAACCGGCTCCCGATCTGAATTCTGCCATTTCGTGTTGTCATTCGAGTCTATTTAGCAGAAGGGAAAATTTTTTCGGGGATGTCTAGTAGGCTGATTTCTCGGTAATTGTCGCAATACATCCTGTTACCTTTCTTAGGAATTGGAAGCAAAATCGCTTTGCTTTAGTTTTCTGCTATTATTTCCTTTTGCCATACCAGAGAATATACTTGTTGAAGGTGAGCTAAGAATGATAATTCTTCTCCGGGAGTTTTATTGGCCTTAAGCTTATGGATTACAGAGATTATTTCCTTTTCACAGTTACAAACGTAAGGCTCGACAGGCGAATCAGTTCTACACGGGATAACAGATAGCGTATCGTGAATAAGTTTGGTCTCAAAAAATTCTTTCCAAGTTACAATGCGATCCTTAATAGCCTTAACAGGCGCCTTACTAATATCCCGTATCATTTCACTGACCCTTTGTCGAGTTATAGTTGTTTTGTAAAGAAGGTACAGTTTCCTATTATCACCTATCGAAGCCGCCGTCTCCATTCTCAAGGCCATCTTGCTCCAGTAGCGATTTCTGTCTCGCCGTCGTTGTAATTCTTCGAAGCACTCGATAATCAGGATTTTCTAATATTTGAGCTTTGGCAGCTTTTTCAGACAGTTGGACAGTTGCATCCCAATTAGCACTTCCTGTTAGTATACTGTGGTGTGGAAGTGGCTGACTTTTATAATCATGTCTTTAATTGGGACCAGTCGCCGTTCTAGAAAGACATTGACGTTCATTTCATTGAGATGTTTCGATAATATGGCTTGAAATGCACTTATTGTTCCAGGATCTTTTAATTTGAAATAATTGAAAGATCTTTGGATACGTTGTTTCTTAGTGCTTGTCAATTTTATACGAATCTTGGCTCGAACCATACTTGATCTATGACGGTTATCAGTTTAAGAGTCCCAATAGGAGCGAATATGATGTACAGAACTCTCCCTCTCTCAACTCCCTGACTATATAGTCAATCTAATTGGAACATTGGTTGTCCGGAGAGTTCCATGTGACTATGTTTCCTCCATCAATAATTTCAGAAAATACAAGTAGAAAACAATTTATTTTAAAAACAAGTATCCTAATAAGTAAATATTTACTCATATCCCAATCAAATATAAACTAGATTTTTGTAAACTAGATTTTTAGAATTAAAGGCAGAATTGATATAGAAGCAAATGGCCCAATTTTACAATGGTTAACTCAAACCATATATACCCGCTCATTATACATCTCTGGAAGGGCTTCTTTCAGGGCTCCATACATCTCTTTAATATTGTCTCTGCGGCGACGCTCCAAGGCATTGTGTTGAGCTCTAGCATCTTTCTTTAGATCCACAGATGAAGGGCCGCTCTTTGCATCCTAAAATTTTTGCACCTCTTACGCCCGTGATCCAGCATGAATAATTACTTATTAAATAAAAAATAAAAAAATTACTTATTAAATAAAAAATAAAAATAAGCATAAAAGAACGAACTATATTAAAGAAACAAATGGTTGTGATGAAGAATGGAAAAAAAAGGATTAAATGAGCCAACCGCTGGCCTAATAAGAAGCTTGATTAGCAAAGTCAAAATTTACATATGAAGAAGTATAATACATAAGTATAAAAAATAAGTATATACAAAACATGGAGGAGAAGAGCAACTGCGGGCATAATAAATAGAAAAATTAAATCTACCAAACAACTATTAGCCTTATAAATATCGGGAGGGACTAGCAACACATATGAAAAAAAATATATGCGAGATTTTGACATAAACATTTAGCGATGTTAGGGACGGGATTCAAGGTGGCCAATTAGAATTTCTTCTCACTATGAGTTTGACTTCTGCCTTTTGATAAAAATAGACTGAAAAAATAGACCTACGACTAAAATCAGAACATTGTCGAGAATGAAATATATCTAAAATTTCAGCAAAAAGGACTTAATTTAGTCGTCAACAAAGCAGCCAAACCAGCAATGGTTCATTCTATTAAAAGAAGTTTAATAGATTTACGAGCGATTTAGTTAATGGATCTGAAAAAAAGCTACTGAAGAAAAAAACCGATTAGAGACCAACAACGACGAAATTACAACAAAATTTATACTAATTAAAATCAGCAGTGAGGCTTTTTACGTTTCAAGCAGTCATTTTAAACGATATTTCGGAATTTCGCCGAGAGAAACTAACTTCTGAATCACTTAGTTCCATGTTTTCCATGAGCAGCGTTTATTGAAGATTCCAATTCTCAAAAATAACACTTCAACCTGGAAAATGAAGTTGAAAATAAATGCCAACAACGAAATTTAAAATGCAAAACCTAAAAACAACACACCGCACCTCAACCGCACCCTTCACACCACTTTATCTTCCGACAGAAAGATTTAAAAAATTAAAGTAATTCATCTGCAAACTTAAGCCGCTAAATAGCAGAGGTATAGAAGTATTTACGGCCGCAGCTCCTCCTTGGAGTTTTATGGCCAGTCTTTAAATAATAAGGTTAACGGTTAATGAAATTCTACTCATTGTTGCAAGACCCTAGTGAAGTGAATGATCGGTTAACGGTTAATAAACGACTAAAGAGGTTTTTAGTGTGGTATTTCGTATAGAATAAGTTGTAATATTACATAAGAATCATAAACTGCAGTCAAACTGTGAAATCTGAGTTCATAGGAGTTAGCGTTAGTTTGAATATTTGATTCGATCGAAGAGCCTCGCTAACTTTGGCACTAATTATAATACCGTTAGGCCCACCGGCCTCTCAAAGTTTGCGTTAGGTGCTTGCAATCAGTGGGTCGGAAAAGTCGAGCTGCCTACTGTAGAGCTTCCGGCCACATTTTGGTATAGACATAATACGGCGTAAATGGTTTTACGGTATTGGAGTGAAGTTTTGTCACGATTGGAGACTGGCAAAATTTATTTCCTTCTTTGGTAGAGTGTTGGCCACTTGGAAACAACAGACTGATTTCTTGGAATATTCAATGAGGTTCTTTCGAAAATGAATTGATTGCCACTCGTGCCAATCCAATTTGCGCGATTTCCAAATTTATAGTCGCAATTTGCCAATGCATAATATTATAAAATATTCTGCTCGAATGCAATTAATATAGTGGCGTAAGTAAATGAAAGTTGGAATATTAGAATACTCTTCTTCTTGCTTAATCGTTGATTTTCATTCTCTTTAGGATTCATCAAAAAATAAACGAAAATTTTGTGTTCTGCAAGAACCTTTCGAGACATCGGACTCTGCGAACATTTGAACCAGCCAAGCTGACAAAGTTGAGTTTGTTTGAGAGAATTCGACTGAGTTACTTCCATCCACGAATGCTTTTAAAAATGCACCAATTTTTAAAATATATTTTTCATTAAGCCAAGATTAAATTTATCTCCCACTTGAAAATTTTAGCAATAATATAAAAATTGGACCCGTTGCATAACCAAAAAATTGAAGAATTGGAACTTAGCAAATGCCCTATAGGATGCGAATTTCTTCACCTACATAATGTCGATGGCGATAAACTTTTTCTATGCAAATAAATGAAATGCAAAGAAATAAACCTGAGGAATTTTGTTGTCATAATTTGTTATAAGCAGTGCTTAAACGAAAGTAGCTAAGCTGGACAGTGAAGCAATAAAATACTGCTAAACTTAATTTTTGACAGTATTATTTAATTCTATTCATCTATGATAATCCATTAAGCTTCTTTTTACTGAAATATAGCACTTTGTATTTAATCTTCATATAATCCAAGAGGAAGAATATATGGTTTATGAGATCATTCATGTAATCAGTGGCCTGTAGTGATAGTGGTTTTACATGGTAGCCACTTAATACGAGAACAGAAATAAAAGGCTGAATATGAGGTTGAAAATTTACTGTCTTTTACTTCCATTCTTTATGTAGTGAAAAGAAATATTCAAGTGATTTCTATGAAAGTATTAAGAAGAATGAAAATAATTTAGAAAAGCATTATAATAACATAATTTTATAATATTATAATTCCACAATAATATTAATGGTACTACAACCTAACCAAAGCTTTCTTATATTATATTTTTATTACATTTATATTTTTGGTACTAAAATTAAAATTTAGGCAAGAAATGAGACTGGATAGTCTCTACATCAGAATCATAGTACCAATATAATACATCCATAAACTATAGGAATGATTAAAGGGAAGTTAGGTCCATACAATGAATTAATGGTTCATCACTGGAAAAGCGTTTGTTCAGACTTCTTTCGTTTAGCATGGTGGTTGTGTTTCTTCGAGCCTTTTTTTCCCGATCGGCTACCTCGACATGGTTTTTCTATTTCTTTGATTTCTTCTTTTAACTGCAGAACTTCCTCGTCTATTTTTGATGTATCACGACATCTTAAAATTATCTAATTAATACAATAAATCCAATCTAGCTAAATGAAATGAGACTTCATGCGAGGAGATTTGAGAAGGATTTTAAGTTATCACTAGGACATTTGCAACTGAGAAATCAATTTTCGATACTCAATTTCTTAGTTCCAAATATTTGGAGACAAAATAGCAGGATGATTCTTGCGGAAGATTATCGACTTGAAATTTAGATTCTGCATGACAGGAATAGAGCTATCATGAAAAAATCCGGCTGGTACCGTCCACTCATGTTATTACCAAGTGATTACCAGAAATCTCTCAGTTTATAGCCAGTTGAATTAGGCTTGAACCAACCATTTACTTATTCCTCAGTTAAAATCTCTATTAATCAGGACACAATAAATATGAGAAAACAACTTACTGTTTACTAATTGAACAACATTTCGCTAATAGGGAGCAATGTATTCGCATTTTTTTTACATCCTTATAGCATTGCTTTTGTTGATTAATATTTCGGTCTCTTTGCATAGATCGTCGTGATTTTTGAATATTTTGTTTAAACGGATTCTTCTGTACTATTTTTTGACATTTCGCCCTCTAGAAACGTTAAAATCTTCACAAACACAAGGTAACTTTAAAACTCCGTCTTCTTATGAGTAGCAGAAGAAATTGACACTATCAGAAATCATTCTAGAAACTCTAAAACTTAGCTCCTTATTTTAGCATACTGATCTAACCATAATTAAGGAAACAAGAACGTAGAAAAACACTAGGTGATTTGAACAGTTGATTTCTAGTGTAAAAATACCTTTTTTGCATTATCAATAGCAGCTGCTTCTGGCATTTTTTTCCTGAGACAACCTTCATAATAGTTATCACGCTAAAAAATAAATTTGTAACCATAAACAGCTATATACTTTTTATTCAAAAGCCTAATTATTTCTTCTCTATCTTATAATCTCATTCGTACAGCTATGGACACGTTTTTATTGGCGCCACCTGTGCACAATCTACAGTTCCAAATCAGTTCCTTAGTTCCACAACTGTAAGTTAAGGAAGGTTGAATAAAGCGACCTCTTCTATAAGACGTTTTAGTTGTTTATGAAGAGTTTCATTGTGGCATTTAGACACTGCTTTTAATGGAGAATCGTGAGATGCGATACATTCATTGACCTTTAGGCGCGCTTTTGTTGTGCATTCGATAAGTTGCTCGCAAATCTCCTCATAAAATTCATTTTAAATAATTGGCTTTTAACAAAATAAAAAAATAATCTTGGGATGGATATAGCTGAGAAACGTCAGTGGAAAATTTGCGATCGTAGAAGTCACAACTAAGGTTGTTTAGGGAAATGCAAGTTGTACTGCAGTTTGAAAACAGATTTTGCATTAAGAACATACAAATAATAGTTTAAGGCGGAAATTTAAAAGTATCTGCAAGATGGGTGGAATCGATGCATCCTTCTGCGAGATTTCCCCTAAGTGGCCCAATTTTAAAAAATAACTCAGTAAAGGGTTATTTTTCAATATTATGAAAAAAATTGTGGCAAAATAAAATAAAAGAAAAACGTATATTAAGGAATAAAATCAAACACTAGTGCTTGTTTTTTAAAAAAAATTCTATAAAATAACGAACTTTCGCATAAGAAAATGCTAGGAATATCAAAATAATTGCAGTATTCTTTAACATTGAGCACCTTCTCTGAAAAGGAATAAATTATTCGATTTGATAAGATAAACAATTTATAAATGACACGAATATTTTCACGACAATTGCTTTGTAACAAACAATGACAACGAATAGAATGTGAAAATTTCATTGTGGTTTATAACGAATGGAGTGACCTTCATTGAGCTGTAAGACGATTCTTTGTTATAAATTCGACAATGATGATGCCCATATGCAAATTGATGGGCCGAAACAGACCAATTCGAAGAAGTATTGCGATGCTGATCGACATAATTGCTACCATATCAACTACTAATATAAACATTATTTTTAATGCTTATCTCGTAATATCTATCTCATCGTTATGTTTAATAAGAACTGCCACTATTTAATCAAAAAAAACAATTGAAATGGCAAAATATTTCATGACCCGACAAACAATCTATTCCTACTAAATTGTTCACAACTATTCACTCATCTTTTTCGCTTCCAGTGGCTCACACCACTGCTGGTTTGGCTGGCTCCACTGGCGACTATAATAAGTCGTTTACAAGCCTTCTGATCCGATGCTATTCTTGGAAATACTCTTTTCATTGAAAACACTCGTTTTTCTACCGTCTAAGCCCGTACATCGCTGGGTTGCATATGCGCTTAAAATTTCTGCACAAAATCGCTTCAAATCTTGATTAGTCTTCCTCTCTTTTGGAGCCACCCGCCACTTGATCTAGCAAGTAACGATGCAATATGTTTTAATTTCTGTGGTGAAAAACATGGCCAAGCTAGGGCAGACGACGTTTGTGAGACGATGCATTCTTAATATAGATGGGATTCGAGCGAAAGTGGATTTAACTATAATGAGGGTTTACTTGACCGATACGTAAAATATATCTTAAGAAATAACGGTTAAAAACAGATAACTTCCTGACTTTTTCCACTATAATTAGCTAAGTTCCGTATAATACATGTTACAGTTAGATAGATGCGAATTTTGTTCTGAAGTTATTTCGCAGTGATCCCAGATAGGTATCGCCAGACGAAAGAATGCATCTGATTGCATGTTATTTGTTCAAATCAAGTAAATCTTTTCTTACTGTATCTTTTAAGTTGTAAACTAATTTTTAACATATTTTCCCTTCAAATTTTAATGCTAATAATCGAAGGATTTCAATGCCGAAATATCTTCTGAATAAATACAAAATAAAAACTTAATTTTAATTTTTACTTATGATAGTGGGTAAAAAATAAGGATGCTTAGAATTTTAAGAATCTCCTAAAAATAATTTTTTTCTGATTCCATAATGACAGATAAGATTCAACTAGGAAGTAGCAACAAAAAATTTGAGAGCGTTTTGTTATTCGTTAACGACGTATGATAGTTGTAATATACACAGTGGCAAAGATAGCAGAAATTTGCAATACAATGGACTGTAAACATGGATGAGAAGTAACAATAAGATTTGTTCATCAATGGTTTTGTTTTAGGCACATCGATCTCTATAAGCATTATGAAAGAAACAAAAGTAAATTTATAAAATCAAGCATTGAAAATGCCTTAAAAATGAAGATTCAGTACAAATTTATCAAAGTTTATCTAGCTTTATCAAAGTTAATAGTAATTAATGAGCTTTATCAATAAAATAATAAAAAAAATCAACAGGTTTTAAAATTTCTTTGGTAATTCTAAATAGTCGATAAATTGGTTGGATTATGGGCTTTGATGAAATATTATAAAAGTAATTCTGTTCTAGATCAGACAATAAACAATATATTCGCACATAAAAGGATACCTAGAAAAAGACTAAGAATAACCGATGGTTTGGAGCCTTCTAAAAATCGCAATTATGCATTTCTATGCATTAATAGTTGAATAGCTGGAATTTAGTGATTCAGCGAAATCTGATTCTGTATAGCGATTCTTTTGAACGATATAAAGTCTGAAATTTCGGCGATTTATCTATTAAAAAAAAAAAATGCATCGGAAATTATCGCTGAAAATTGATAAAAAGTCATTTGCAATGTTTAGCCTTTAGTCGTTCAAGTGTAAGGAAATAATAAACTAATTAACGAGTCGGCGAAAATGAAAATTGCCATATGTTTATAAAAATGCTTAAAAATTCTAACATTTTTCAGAAGCTTAAAATTGGTAATTTATTTTCCAAAAATGGAATAGAAAATAAATTCTCAGTCACCCGACAACAATACGTTGAGCCGACTGATGCTAAAAAAAAAAACCCTTGCAGACATTATAAATCATTTTTTAACAAATCACTTGCGTATAATACTGAATATCTCAGTAATTTTGTACAAAATTAGTTTAAATTGGCAGCAAAAAAATCTAAATGCGGTCTGAAAATTCTTGCGGTCGGATTTCACATAAAGAACTGCATTTTGCAATTAAATATTCAATCCTTCAACCTAATTAATTAAATGTTGCAAGTAAATATTAGAAATTGGGAATAATTTTTAAAACGCTTTTCATATATGCTTCGAAAATGGCTTATTCAGAAAAGTCTTAAGAAATTAAATCCCAAATTCTTTCTTCCTTTCAAATCGTTCTCCCTATCAAACATCGCATTAAGCATAAATGCCTTTTCTTTAGTTTCTTTTTGCACCACTTTTTAGCATAAATTTTTTAAAGGAAACCAAACGACAGAATTTTATTAGAAAAAAATAAAAAAAGCTGCTTGACTGTTTTAATTTAATGATTTAAATATGGCACCGAGTCATCAAATTCAACCTTACTGCAGCCAGTAGAGCCAACTAGCAATAACAATATTCGAAGCAGAAGAACTAATTTAATCATTAAGCATTGAAGCAAAGCTCAGTAGAAAAATCACTTTATAGGGTACAAATAAACAGAGCCTTCTGAGCCTTTGAAAAATTTTAAAAATTAATTAATACAAATCGAAAACACAAACTTTTAACATAAATAATGGAAGAATCTAGTAGGAAATATTTTGTTCAGAATCGAGGCCGATTCAAAATAGTTATCTCAAAACCTCGTGCTTCTTTAAATTTTTTTTTTAATGCATGAAGTGGTAAATTAATCTTTTTCCAAACTTTTAACAAAAATCATTAAAAAACGTCAAATACCAGCGAGTTGTGCTGCTGTAGATTCATCTCAAAGGTATGCACTATAAAGCTGAGAGCAACAAACGACAACGAAAATGAATAGCGCGAAATCAACAACATATAAGATCGATACAATCTTTATGGGTTTTTTTAGAAAATACTTTATGAAGTTAAAAAAATAACCATTTTGCACAATAACAGTAATATAGGCAGTAGTTACATAAATTCTGTAATAAATCACCACAAAATTACTCAAAATTATAAGAAAATTTCGTTGTACGACCTATCTCAGTAATGTTTCGATGAAGTTTATGAAACACGATTAAAGCAAACAAATCGCGGCTAATGAAAGAATAATATTTTGATAAGCATTTGACACACTGAAGGCAGATTGGAGTGATTAACAATTGACAAATCGATAAAAACTTGAAAAAAATGTTTTCGACGCGAGCCACTTTTCGCGAGTATTTATCTAATATACTAAAGAATTGCATGCCATGCTAACATACTACCATTTAGAATTATACTTAATAATACAGTAAATATTCTAGCATCAACTAAATCGAAATTCTGAAATTTGATTGGCTATAAAAACCATTCTATATTGAACAAGTAAGAAAAAATAAGCTCACCATAGTATTCTCGGATCTTAAGAAAACAACAAAAAGAAATCGAAATGCTGTATGTGGACAGTCATTCTAAAAATTTTTGACAACAAAACTTGCATAATTATCTTAAAACTCCGAAAAAAAACTGAAGAAGCAAACACTGCATTAATATATTAAAACTATATTCAACATAATTTTTTTTTTTAAAAGTCCTCACCATTATTGGTAAACTCGTTCCGCTGGCTTGTCACATTGGACAAATATGCCCATGAGTCCCTTGGAGATAGAAGTACAGGTGAGTCACCAGCATCACATGGAATTTTGGATAGGTTTACTCCTGCGAGGAATAGAACTTCACTTCGGCGCTCTCAATCGAGCAACAACCCACTGAACCATCCTATATTCAACACAATACATTTGTAAAAATTTAAAATGCAAGCAAAAATTTTACTGATTTTATGCGAATTTTGTACATCAAGGAGCCATTTAACTCGAGCTATTATTAAAATGCTAATGCGATGTATTATGGAGAGTAAATATTAAAGAAAATTCTACAATGAATTTAATCTTTTTTTTTAACCATTTAAAGAGCAAATTTGACATCGAATTCATCGAAAAGAGATCATTTCATTTAATAGGGTTTATAGAAAATCCACTCAATGGCAAAATACAAATTAATAAAATATAAATTATTTCAAATAACATGATAACTGACCAAATTATCGCTATACCGGCTTGAAAAGAAGAGAAATTTGTTTTTGAACTAATGGCAAGCACAAGCAAATAGAAAATAATTCTTTAATATTTTAAAGATTAAAGCAATATTTTAAAAACTATTCTATAACATAATTAAAGTGACAAAACAACTGCTTAAT